TATTTTAGGTCTGTTATTAAAGGGTAATTTCAGGAAAGTCATATTGAAATTTCTTGGTCAGCAGCCCAAGTAGGAATTGGACGTGGAGTTCCCGGGGTAGAGTAGTAGCTTGGATGGCGGGTATGGTCATCATATGCTGGAAGTAGTTAAACAAGTTAGGCATTCGGGCTCTAACCATCTCATATTCTGGATCCAGGATTATGAGACCCTCGTTGAATGGCCACATAATAAGGTCCACCATTCCAGGTTTGGGTCCTGTACCAAGATAAGATACTATCACATAAAGCTATGAATACACTGGATGAGAAGCTAAGGCATCAACTGAAAAAAAAATTGTGGTTTTGGTCGGTACTGAGTAAAATAATGTGTCGGTAAGGATAGCTTTAGTCACCAGCATGACGTGTGACAGTTATAAACTCAACTTTTGACACAGCAAAACTTTGATAACAGAGATAACTATGCATGATCTGTGTCTATCTGAATCTACGTTAAATTCTGTCCGAACACCTGGTGTGGCTATGTCATAAAGTTAGCGCAATGCAAGATGTTGGTGCAAACTAGTTTTTGGTAAATTTATGTAAACTAGCCAGTTCAATATTCAGAAGGTTATCCTAGAAAATTGAATACCCAGTTGATAACATACATGGCATCTATATGGTCAAGCCTCTAGCTTCTGGACAAAGACAAGACAAAACTTTCATTCTTAAACCAGGATTTTTCCTTCTGGAATCAAGGCCTTGAAAACCTGTGACTGAAAGCAAGTCTACACAATGGAAAATTAAGGTTTATTAAAGTGGACTAGGTGCAATACAATTTTTTTACTTACCACCAAAAAATGGAGTTTCTCGTTTCATAAGTCTTCTCTCGATTATTTTAAGGCCATCCATAACTGTGTCAACATCTTTATTGTCCTTTGTGAATGAGCGTAAAGCATATTCCATTGGTTGGCACACCTTGATAATGACAGAATATGTCAAAAGTTGCAAGGGATCAATGAAACGGTTTAAACTAAGTCCAGTGAACACTAGCAAAAACCTATCAACAACTTTTTCTTGCGGTAAAATGTAACCTACCTTTGCTCTGTATATTTCGAGGACAATCCTCTGTTGGGCCTTTTCAAAGGGATCCTTTGGATAAAGAGGTGGATCTGGATACAATTCCTCCAACAGCTCACAGATGACAACTGATTCAATAATTATCTTTCCATTGACTTCCAGGACAGGAATTTTTCCAATGTGATTGCGTTCCAGAAGGAACTCTGGTTTTCTCCTCAAGTCACAGTAGATTTCATCATAGCTGTCAAAGATATGAATATTGCATTTCACAAAAATATGTAACATTTTGTACAACATGTAAATGTACTGCTGGAAGTTCTAAAAAATAAATATCAAGGGCAAACTGGGTGGTCGAGAACATGGACTTCAGACACCTACATTAGTAAGCAGGTCATGGAGAAGATTTTCTTCACATGCTCAAG